TGACTGTGTTATCAGCAGTTTAGAGGAGAGAACAATGAGGCTTAGGTTGGGGAACTTACTTCAGCTCATGCAGCTAGAGCTATGAGTTTAAAGCACCAGTGTGCATCCGTCTCTTTTTATTTTATCTGAGTCCACACAGGAGTGAGCAAAAACTGATGCATGGTGTGTAGGCCACAGATGAGCTAGAATAATTTGTTTGGCTTTGCAAATAAATGGAACACATAGTGCCCTTTTGGCCTGGCTTCCCCTGCTCTGCTTTAGCACTTCTTCCTTGTCAAGGGTCTAGGAGGTAGGTCAGCAGATACTACGTTTGCCCTCGTGGAGAGTTCACCATGGGTACCACTGAAGAAGGCTGGTTCCCTTGGAAGAGACAGTCTCCGGAACATCTTGGCCTTACCCTCGGAAGGCCTAGGTATGAGCTGCAGGTCTGTCTGTAACAGGCACTGTGACCTTGGGCAAATCACTTCACCTGCACACACCTGGCTTCTCGGTCAGTGAAGCAGAAGGGTGGGGTTGGGCTGGGGTTTCAGGATTCTATTAGGATTGCTTTTCTCGGGCCTCCTAAAGGAAGTTGCTTGCCCTAAAATTGAGATCCTCAGTGGCTCCTTAATCCCAGCACAGAGTATGTTTGTAGGAAGGGTTGGCTGGTTTTCTCTTCCTGTAAAGAATTTAGGGCAGTTGAATGACTTAGTCATTCATTAGTCTGGATTCACAGTCACTCTAGGCCCATGTGACCCCAAACTGAGGTCTGGGAACAGATTCATTCTGCAGTTACTCCCAGTCATGTCTCTCTTCTTGCTGCGGGACCTTGGGGAAGGAAGAACAGGGTCAGGAGCCCATGGGTGATACTGAAGCTAAATGCCTGCCCCAGGGCTGGTTCCCACAAATGCAGTCACTCTCCTCTCTCCTGGCGGGAGTGCCGTGAAAGTTTGTTCTCAATTTACTTTTGATATATTCCATGGTATTTTTAAGCAACGCTTTTGTATTCCCAACAGTATTTGCCTCAAGTCACATAAAAATGAATCTGTAAACTTTGGATGAGGGCCCAGTCTTCATTTGTCCTGCCACTGCTGATAATAAACCCACCAAATAACTGAGCCCAAATGGATAGGTGTGAGTCAGCTCCCAGGCCAGCCTCACATACAGTAAGTGGCATCTTTGATGGTCTGAATAGTCTGAATAGTCATACAAAGTATTTTCATGTATTATCTCTAAAACTCCCGAAGTCCTGTGATGATACCATTATTACTGTTATATATAGCTGAGGAAGTTGAGCTTTGTACAGAAGCAGTGACTTGCCCAAGGCCAGAACCCAGCTTCAGACCCTGGATTTCCAGTGGCTTTCAGAGAGCTAGTGAGCAGTGGCAGGGGCAGGAGGGGGATGCAGGCAGTGTCCAGGCCACCTCTCAGGAGAAGAAGGCACAGATATGCTTTAGTCCCCACTCGCAGAGACCCATAGGGTGACGTGGCTTTCCCAAAGCTTCAGGCCAGGACACTCGGCAGTGGGGAGACCCAACTGATTAGGGGGGCCAAAGAGGAGCTACCACTGCCTTGAAGGAGAGGGAGCTGGAGTTTCTGAGGTTCCCGCAGCACCTAGGAATAAGAGCGTGTATGCACGGAGCTCAGAGTAGCTGGGGACTCTGGCTGAGACAGCAGGGAGGACGCCGGACAGGCGAAAACATTTTGTCCTCAAGCCTTCCCAGTCTGTACAAGACAGGAAATTCCTCAACTCTCCGGAGGCAGCCTGCTTTCCTGGACATTGCAGCCCAGTCGAAGAAACGAGATCTCTGCATTTTCAATAGCGGGCCCTCCAGCCCACTCNGAAATCAGGAAGGAAGTGACCAACGGAATCACCCAGGGGCCAAAGCTGAACAGCCTGGAGACTGCAGCTGACAGTCAAAACTGTTCCAGCACCCAGAGAGGTGGCTCTCCTGCCTGGGTCACAAGTAGCATGCCTCAGCCCCTGAAGGAATCCAAGCTGGAACCATCCGGGGACTCACCCCAAAAGGCCCTGAGGACCCCCATCCTGCAGAAGACTTCCAGCACCATCACCCTACAGACCACAAAAGTCCAGCCAGTAGCAAGAGCACCGGTCTCGGGGCCCCTCTCTCCTTCTGGAGAAGAGAGAGAGAGGCCAGCTGCTCCCCCTCCAGCCACCCTCCCCACCAGGCAGTCTGGCCTGGGAAGCCAAGAAGTTGTGAGCAAGGTTACTACCAGGAAAATCTCCATGGAGAGCCGGAGGGATTCAACATTCCCCAAATTTGAGAGCAAGCCCCAAAGCCAGGAAGTCCGTGAAGATCAAACAGTCAAGTTCAGATGTGAGGGTGAGTAGAGCTAACTCAGGTCACTGGCTCCCGCAGTGTATGTAGCCCCTGGGTGGCCGCTGCCTTCCTTCAGCACAGTGGTCTGAGCTTCCTGTATCCACCTCGGATCTCCTCCAGCCTGGAAGCCACCTTACAGGGGTCTTCCTTCAGGAAGGACTCAGTCTAGTAACGTCCGTTATTCTTGAGGAACACCCAGCAGTGGCCCACGGCTCACTGTTGGATAGAGCATCAGCCCTGTGCCCTCATTCTTACTACCTAGAGGGGAAAACTGGCCATCACCATCACGGGCCACAGGGTCTCCTCTTTTGTCCCTTCTGCTGGCTTTGGCTCACCTAGAAAACTGGCTGTCACCCTGTATTCCTCCTCCCTGTGGACCCTGCCTCTGTCTTGGGATGTTGACTTTTGTGGAGTAGGGGGTTGGGTAAGAAAGTGGACCAAAGCTGGAGAGTAGCTGCACACCAGACTGAGGTCTTCCCTCAGGTTCAGCTCCCCCGTCCCCACCCAACAAGTGCAGCGTGCTCTCCAGGGGCCTCATGGCCTTCCCCTGGCCCTGTAGTTTCAGGGATCCCAAAGCCCCAAGTGACCTGGTTTCTGGAAGGTTCCCCCCTGAGGAGACGAGAAGGCACCATTGAGATTTATGAAGATGGCGGGGCCCATTACCTCTGCCTGCTGAGAGCCCGGACAAGGGACAGCGGGAACTACAGCTGCACAGCCTCNTATGAGGGTTCCAGTTGCCTCACATCCTCACCAACACCAGTGTTTGAGATGATCAGTCTTCTTAATTTAGACATTCTCATGAGTGTTTGGCTTTCTCGAGATGCTTAAAAATCTCATGAGATGGCAGTGGAGCATCATGCAGTCGTAGAAAACAGTGAAGAAGCTCTTCAGTTCTGTTCCATGAGAGACATCAAGATACATTGCTAAATGAAAAAGCAATACACAAAGCCAATCATTGTGTATACTGTGCTTTTTTTTTTGAGAAAAAAGATTATGCCTGTTTGCTTATGCGTGTTACACACATAGACCATCTTTGGCAAGAACAACAAGAAACTGAACAGTGGTCGCCTCTGGAGATAAATGCTTGATAGACAGGGGTGAATGGGAGACTTTCCATGTACTCTCTGGTACCTTTTGAATTTTGTGTCATGTGAGGGTGTCACTTATTCAAAAAAGTAAATAAACTTTAAGAAAAAAAATCTTATAAAATGCCAAGTATTGCCCCACCCCTTGAAGTTCTCCTGGGCAACCAGGGCCTAGATTGGACATGGCCCTGCAAGGGCCTCATTTGTTCCCCACTTATCAGGCAAGAGCATGGTCATGCCAAGCAGAGAAAACAGCACATCTCGTTCATGGTGATCTCCAGGGCTCCCCAAACTTCTCATCTATCAGCAGTCAGTTCCTGGTGGGAACGTGACCCTGACAGTCACGTGGCAAGGGGTCATTTAGTCTGTGTTTGTCAAATGCATGAATGAATGTTCACCCATTCTATTGTCTGCCACACAGAAAAGAAAAGTGACGGGAAGAGTGCGTATCTTCTGCCCACGGCTACTGGCAAGCCCGTCGCACCCCTCTTCTTGCAGGGCCTCTCTGATCTCAAAGTCATGGACGGAAGCCAGGTCACCATGACAGTTCAGGTGTCAGGTCTGTCTCTGCATCTCTCTCCTCCGGGTATATGTGAAAATGGACATGGCTGCAGCATGGGTGTTGCTCTCTGATGTCCTTTTCAGATCATTGACCCACCAGAAAATCAGCAAGTGGCTGTGAGTCAGTGGAACCAAAGAACAGAGCCTCTTGGTCCCTTTTGTCTGCTTTCTCTGAGCATGATTTTTCTAGATTCAAGGTTAACTGGTCCAGGGGAAGACGATGGCCACAGCTAGAGGAGTGAGGGATTAATGTGAAAACAGTGTGGCCAATGTCGCTGGGAGATTTCAAACACTGGTGCAAAATCAGACGATGTGAGAACGTCCCAATTCTTGGAAGATATTCTCAGTTGCTCTATTCAAATTTTAAGGGGAGAAGATGGAGCAAAGGTCCTAAAACAGAGACAGGGTGACAAGACCATGTGATTGGCAAGCAACACAATGTGAGATGTCACGATCCTTGCTAAAAGCCAGCAAGAGACACCTGGGGAGTCAAGTTTCCCATTCATTAGAAATGGTTGCTGGCCACTGATCGGTCTCTGACAGCCTGGAGGCTGCCCTCCTGGGTCTTGAGTTCCCCTTGAGCTACCGAAGCAATAAAATGGGCTGTGAGAGATCCTGTGGGCTCACGGTTTTAGCCATCCTCGAGTGAACTTCCTGCTACTGCAGGCTGGAGTGAGTCCCATGACAGTCCCAGGCAGAGGCCTGAGTCCCCTCCCCTGTCCACACTCCTCAACTTGACAGAAATCAGAGGTGCTATGCACCTGGCCTCCAGTCGTGTGCTGGCTAACCCACTGGAGACAGATGTGGTCTCCTCTCTCTTGGAGCCTCTCCAGAGCCTGAACCACTCAGGCTTCTTCAGCAGCCATCCTGGGCCTTGCTCCTCTGGAAGCAGAACATATCAGCTCAGCCCTAACCACAGAGAGAACCCTCACCGGTGGCCATTGTTTTATGCCCCAGCACATTGCTAGAAACCACCCAGGAAACTAGACTAGTAAAAACTGAAGATGCTGTTCACCGTGAGCTGTGTTTAGAAATTCTGGATGCACTGATGCCCATCTTCACCTTCAGACAACATTGGTTTGGTAGCAAAATGAAATGCAACTGAGCTTTCCTGCTGGTGAAAATGGACAAGCGTGTTACCATGAAGTCACATGACGTTGCCTGGACACGCCCGCCCCGTGTGAGGCAGCACAGAGCAGGAAACACGTGTACCTCCAACCCGGTCGTCCTGTGACGACTCAGTATCATCAGGCAGTTTGAATTTGAATTTTAAAAACCATCCTTTTTGGGTTTTCTTTTTCATCTCTGAGATTGTACCTTTTCACTTCTGAATTCTTTCTAGCTTCCCCAAATCTGTTGTTAAATAATTATAATCAACACACATTGAGTACTTTCTTTGTGCCGGATACTATTCTAATCTGCTATTCTAGTGGGCTCCTAAGGGGGCTGCATGAACTTACTTAATCCTTCCAATAGCCCTATGAGGTAGATACGGTTGGGATATTTTCTGGATGGGGAAACTGAAGCATAGAGTTGGGTCAAGTATTTAGTACAGTGTCACAGGACTGTGTGCTGAATTGCCACATGGCCCAGGGAAGCAACTCCCTGACCAGTGCCCTGCCCTTCCTCCACATTCAGGGAACCCACCCCCTGAGGTCATCTGGCTTCACAACGGAAACGAGATCCAGGAGTCAGAGGACTTCCACTTTGAACAGAGAGGCACTCGGCACAGCCTGTGTATCCAGGAGGTGTTCCCGGAGGACACGGGCACTTACACCTGTGAAGCCTGGAACAGCGCCGGAGAGGTCCGTACCCAGGCCGTGCTCACGGTGCAAGGTAAGGCTGACCAGCGGCATGGGCGGGGGACAGGGGGTGGTGCTGCCATGGTCTCTCCAAAAGCAATTTGGAGGCAAGGAAACCATAGGAGCCTACTTTGTTCCCACCATGGACCCTGTGCTCTCTTGGTCCCATCCCAGACCCAGGGGCCAGCTCCTCACCTTACATCTCAGGCTCTGGCTGAGTGGGGCGGCCCTTGCCTGCCTTCTGAAGTCCCTGCCCTCTCTGGTGACAGCTGCATAGAGTGCTGGGAGAGCAATCACATAATACACATTAACAATTTGGCAGATAGCTTTTGATGTGAGTTGTGGGCCAATTACGGTTCTTGCCTTTAGAGAGCCTCCATTTAAGAGGAGAGACAAGTGATGTGCACATAAAGCCAGTGACAGCTCTTAATCATCACATGTGATGTAGATCATTCGTGCCCAGCCTAGTGCCCTGTACCTTCTGGGCTACATTCCCTTGCTTTGGATATGCAAATGCATGTTAATATTATCCTTTGAGAATGTAACCAAGGTGGATTTGCCATAAAAAAGATACGCTATATCTACATAGCCAGTAAAAGTGGTTTCTGGACAAGCTGTTATTTGAATAGCATGCTGTCTTCCACCCTTCACCACCACGGAGAACTGAGGGGACTCTGTCTGCTGAAAGGCCTCCCTCTCTAACTCAACCCTTCGCCAACTTCCAGAGCCTCAGGATGGCACCCAACCCTGGTTCATCAGCAAGCCTCGCTCGGTGACAGCTTCCCTGGGCCAGAGTGTTCTCATCTCCTGCGCCATAGCTGGTGACCCGTTCCCCACCGTGCACTGGCTCCAAGAAGGCAAAGCCCTCTCCAGTGACACCGGCCACTTTGAGGTGCTACAGAACGAGGACGTGTTCACCCTGGTTCTAAAGAATGTACAGCCCTGGCATGCCGGCCAGTATGAGATCCTGCTCAAGTGAGTCTGCATGTCCTGCCCTCCAATTCCTGCTTCCNTGTGATCACAAAATATGGTGAATGCTGCTGCCGAGTGCCATCTAACAGAAAAGCAGGGATCTTCAATATGGGAAGAGGTGCGTCAAACCTTAGTAATAGTGTGTGACAAGTTTCAACTTGTTCAGTTCAACAAGTCAGTCAGGTGTGAGCTACAGTTGAGAGAAGGTGTGTTTTAAGTGTGCCATAAATCATCCTCCATCATTACAATGCTCCGTGTCACATATCGCTTCTGATATATGGCAATTTCTGTCAAATAAAAACATTACAGTGTGTCATCCACCTGATTCATCATATCTGGCACCGTACGACTTCTGTCTCTTCCCAAAAGTCAAAATGATTCAGGACATTGAGGCAGCTACAACAGCACAACTAAAGACACTCACGAAAGAGGACTTCCAGAACTGCTTCAGAAAGTGGCAAGAATGGTGGGATAAGAGTGTTAGAAAAGAGGGAGAGTATTTTGAGGGGGATTAATGGCAATGTGTCTTTTACTGTAATAATTTTTTTTAATTTAAACCTTCACTGTATTGTTTGATCACTCTTCGTATTTATGGTACTTGATTTGAAACTTCACCCATGAAACCATTATAATTTTAAAAAACAACAACAAACATCCCCCATCACCCCCCACATGCTTCCTTGTGCCCCTTCACAATCCATCCCCCCAACTTCTGCCCCAAGTAACCACTGATCTGCTTTCTGTCACTATATTTTACATTTTCTAGGATTTATATAAATGGACTCATCCAGTATGTACTCTTTGTCTNCCCACCATCCCATGCAGGAGTTGAACCTTGTTGTTAAGAGCACCAGCTGAGCCATCCTGCCACCTGTTGGTAGCTCAGTGGCGGCTCAGCTCAGGCACAGCTCACTGGCCCATGTGGGAATCGAACCAGCGATCCTGTTGCTCAGAGCTTGCGCTCCTAACCAACTGAGCCACTCGGCCAGCCCCACTTACAAATATTCTTAATCTTTGTTGTTATCTTCCCCATTGTAGGACAGGCCTGGTCCTTTTTATTTTCTCTCAAAATGGAACAGTGTACCAATAGCTAGCAACTCAGTTTAATGACGGAGTGAGTCCGTGAGTGGTAAGTCATTGGCCAGTGGACCAAGTACCAAAGCAATAGACCTGTTCACTTTAAATCTTTACTCCTAGGCTAGTAAATCAAGGAGGCTCAGCCCTTCCTGGATTCCAGAGAGAAGGCCTTCTCTGGGCTTGGTCTCAGCAGAGCAGCCGAACGAACAGCTGTGGGAAAAACCTGGGGTATATTTAGTCTGGCCCCATTTGAGCCGGGCAGCAAGTGTGTCGCTGGGTCCCAGGGACCCCTCCCTTGCTATTTGTGTGCCGCAGCCAGGGCCTGCCCTCCCTAAACGAAGAAGGCTCAGGTTCCCTGAGGCACCATTGCCATTGAGGGCCTCGCCTCAGACCCTGGCTCTCCTAGCCGTGCCTCAAACCAAAACCATGACAGATGACAGCTAGAGCACAACCCCGCTAGAGTGTCTCTCTAGGGTAACCAGCGACTCTGGGCATGCACGCAATGACTGAAAACTCCTGTGGCATCTAGGTGGCCAGCCTGTGTTCTCAGGACAGTGGAGGGAGGTCCCAGACCAGGACCCTGTTGGTCATGTCAGCCCCAGGACCTTAGGAAAGGCCAGCTTCCTTCTCTGAGCCTTAGCTCTCTCCGTGGTAAAATGGGACACAAACTCTTTCACATCACAGGAAGTTGAGAATAACACTGAACAGAGTCACGCACATGCTTTAGAATCTTGAAGTGCTAAACTTTGTAAGGAATTGCCACAAGGCCATCTCATTGGCGCCTGTCCATGCCCTTTCTGATCTCTGCCTGATTAAATGTGAATGTCCTGGTTTGGGGGACTTTTCTCATTGTAGTACTGTCAGATTGAGTTCGACCAACCATAAAGGTCAGTTGGGTTAGGAAAGGCACAGAACATTTATTTTGATACTTATTATGTGCCAGATATTGTTCTGACTGTTTTACATATGTTATTCTTTTAATCATCTAAAAGTCCGGCAATATTTATCATGCATGATATGGATGATATATATACAGTCCACTTATCAATATTGTATTATCANTTATTTCTTGCCGTGTAACAAATTATCCTCAAACTTAGCATCTTAACACAGCAGTTGTTATCTCACAGTTTCTATGGCTCAGAAATTTGAAACAGCATAGCTAGAGGTGATTTGGGGGTCAGGTTTTCACATGAGGTTGCAGTGAAGATGTCAGCTCGAGCTGCGGTCTCTGAAGGCTTGACTGAGGCTGCAGGATCCACTTCTAAGAAGGCTCACTCACAGGGCTTGTGGCAGGAGGCCTCAGCTCCTTACCATGTAGACCTCTCCATAGGGCTTCTTGAGTATCTTCATGGCATGGCCGCTGACTTTCCCAGAGCTTGTAATCCAAGAGCAAGAAGGAGCTGGAATCTGCAGTGTCTTTTATGACCTAATCCTCAGAAGTCACACACCATTACTTCTGCTACATTCTATTGGTTAAAAGTGAGTCACTAAGCACAGTTCATACTCAAGGGGAAGAGAATTAAGTTCTGCCTTTGGGGAGAGGAGTATCAAAGAATTTGTAGACACTTTAAAACCACTCCAGGGAGGTTAACTATCCTCATTCTTTTTTTTCCTCCCTGTCAAGACCTTTCTAGATTACACAGGAAGGGAAGCTCCGTGAACGCACACTGCTATGTTCCCAGTGCCTAGAACATGCCTGGCCCACAGTCAGCATGTGGCAACCACTTGTTAAATGAACTCGATCCAAAAATGTTCTACTGCTTTTAAAACGCTCTCTTAAAATTCCATGCCAGCCCTGAGTTGATGGAGACAGAACACCAGCCCCTAGGGTTGGTGGCAACATGGAAGAAGAGTATTTGTAAGCACCTTGACCCTGAAAATAGGAGGCTGTGCCACATCCTGGGGATGGTTGGACCTGTCCTGGCCCAGGCACCTGGCCGCTTTGCAAGGGGCTTGCTCTCCTAGATAAATCATTTCCCCGTCCTGAGCCCATTATGTTCAAGGCTCTGTGGCCACATTCTAAGGCTGCTTCTATGTTGGAGCATTGTTCCTATAATAACAGCAAAAGCTACTATGTGCCCCATCCACTTGTGTCCTTTCTGGGCATGTGCTTTATACTTGTATCTGTTAGCTTTCGCTGCATAACAAACCACCCCCATACTTAGTGGCTTAAAAAAAAAGCCACTGTTATTTCTTAGGAATCTATGGATCTGCTGGGAAGTTGCGCTGAGCTGGGCAGGGTTCAGCGAATCTCAGCTGAGCTAAAGACACCTCTGTGGTCAGCTGATGAGGCGGTTGTGGGCTGCCTGGTCATGCTACTACCATGAGCGGTATGCTCAGAGCACACCAACAGCCGTCGCCTCATGGCTGAACCAGTTCCTCTCAGGAAGGCAGATCTGCCTCCAAAAGAGATGATATACTCTTCTCCTAGACCATTACAAATACTAAAAACCGATTATATGTGAGAATAAAGCTTGACTGTATGGAAGGAGTAGAGCTTTGAGACAATATGTTAATCAAATCAGACATCCTAAAAGAGATGAGCTTTTTGTGGCATTTTGAGGAAACCAGGCTGAGTCTTGGCAACAGAGTAACGTCTTGGCTTGCCGAGGGCCTGCTGGATAGGCTGAGTAAGAAAGGGTAAGGAAGAACAAAGCTCAGGCTGTGGGAAGGTGGCCAGGCCAGCATGGAGGGTTGCACTGGGAGGTCGGCAGGCAGACTGTCTGGGCCCAGCGGGGGATAGTCATAAAACTTAGAAATCCCAGCTGGAAGGGATTTCAGAAGTGATCTAGCTGCCTCTTCGTTTGATAATGGGGGAAACTGAGGTCTCAGGGTTGCTTGTGGCCACCCACAGGCCAGTAGCAGAGCTCCGCTTGGAACCCTAATCTCTGTCTTTAAATCAGATGCTCTTCCATTCCCTGTTTCTCCCAAGTGCACTGGGAACTTGGGGAACCTGGGAAATGGCGCTAGAGTCCCCACCCACGCAGCCCTTGCCCCTTTTCCCTCCCCAAAGTCCGGCCTCTTCATTCCTTTGGGAGGCTGGTGCCCTGGCCTTGGCTCTGTCCCCAGCTGAGAAGGAGCAAGTCAGTGGAAAGTTCTCCTGGGTGCCAGGGGCCTCGCTCCTCTCCAGCTTTCTCATCCTGACAAAAGTCAGACCTAAACCCAGGACGAAATGCCTTTCAAGAAGGAAGACTGGATGGTTGGGGAGAAGTCAGGGTGGGAGGGCGAGGGACCTTAACTGTCCCTGCTAACGTGGTGGGGTAGGTCCGGGTGGGTGGTTTCTACCTCCCCTTCCCTTCCCGGAACTAAAAGGGGGAAATGTCAAAAAGTCAGCTGCTCCACATCCAGCTGAAATATTTGAAACATTGATACTCTCCAGGAAATTAGTCCTTTAAACTAATTTGGCATATAAAATTCATTCCAGAGGTAGGTGATTCAGAGCGGGACAACCTCCAACGCTTTCTACCCAAGGAGTGAGCTTCTTATACAGGGGTTGAGAGGTGAAGGCAAAAAGGGCTCTGTGAGTTTGTAAAAGGTGCAGCTCACAGGGTGATAGCCCCATATCCTCTGTGGCAGCACCTGGGCTGGGTGTGGGGCAGGGGCCTCATCCTCAAACTCAGGCCTGACTTTGTCACTGAGCTTTGTAACTGAGCATGTGCAGATACCAAAGATGACCCCAAAGGCTGGTTAGATTATCTGGTGTGTGGATCCCAGCCAACAGGCCTCTCAGACCTTTGGAGGCTTTAAATGAACCATGATTTGCCTTAAATCATGGTTTTAAGTTTATGACTTACGAAAGTTTATGACTGAAGAAATAGTGACCCCCCCCCAGGCTACCCCAAGGGCTGATCCACTTAGTGGGCCAGCCATGGGATCCCAAGTCCACAATCCGTCTGCTCTTCAGACTGCCTGGGTGCCTCGGGGTGAGGCCTGGGGGTGGGGCTGAGCAGCAGGCCACCGGGGTGCCTCCCCTCCTTGAGAGAAGGTAGTGGAAAACAACAGGAGCCCTCTCCTGCTTCTCCCACCAGGAGACAGAGCTTACTCCAGCTCAGCAGACAGGGCGCCCCACCATTTAAAGCCTCTGAGGAGTTTGGCTGGGGTAAAGCAGGGCCATCTGGTCAGTGTCTGCTGCTGATTTTTGCATCTGGGCTACGTGCTACTTGTGACAGGAGGAAACTCAGCAGAGGAGATGTTGAAAAGAGCTACTGAGGAAACATGGCCCTCGGGCACCCTGTCCTCCTGCCCACACCAACCCCAGGCCCCATACCCTGTGCCTGAGAGAAAAGTGGGAAAAGAATGGCCTCATACTGGCCAGCACCCTGGCAAAAGTGGGGAGCCAGGGGCCTGGGCCTCACCCCCAAATGACCTCCCATGATTATTCTATAAGTTGACCCAAGCCCCATAAGCCTCCTGCGTTAAGTCCTCAGGGTACTGTGAAGGCCTCCCAGCCTTCCCAGGGCCTGGCACAAAGGAGGCAACTAGCTGCTCTTTGTTGGGCAAAGGAGCACCCTGGGCCCTCAAACTCCCCAGACATGAGGCTCCCTAAACTATACATCTGTGCCCCTGAGAACCTGAGCATTGAGGAAGGTGGCCAAGAAGGGACTCAACAGATAAGAGGAGGGATGGGGAGCAGCAAAGATCAACCTCTTCTTGCTTCAAGTGCCCGGGAGTCAGCAGCAACCTCCAGGAGCCCCGACAGTCATCTTCCATGCCATGAGCTGCCAGCATCTGACCCAGAGCTGGCCCTCCTCTGGGAGGGAGGCCAGGCAAAGCGAGGCAGGTACCCACATACATTGAAAGAGCTTCATGAACACGTGCTCAGAGGTCTGTCCACATGGGGTGGTTTGTGCATGGCACATGTTCCCAAACACAGACTCCCACCAAACACTGTGAATCCATGTGTGTGCTTGATCTATACACACACATAGAGACACACACAAATACACACCTATCCCAGAACAGATTTGTACTGATGAGCACTGTAGGGCTGAGTAGGAAGGTCTTGGATTCAGGTGGGCCACTTTCCCCACTAGTTAGTTCTGTGGCTTTATTATTCTGTGTAAATTAACATTTACAAGGTCCGACAATCAAGTTCACAAACTCATCCTATAAAAAGTGCTGCATATCAGGGGCCGGCCGAGTGGCTCAGTTGGTTAAGAGCTCGCTCAAGAGTTTGAGCTCTGAGCAATAGCGGTTTGATTCCCGGCCCGAGCTGAGCTGCCAACAGGTGGCAGGATGGCTCAGCTTAAAAACGAACAAACAAACAAAAAGTGTTGCATACCTCATTGCTGACTATCACTACGGTCACTTTCAAAGTACTCCCCTTGGGAAGCTATGCACCCACACCAGTGCCTAGTCTACCATTCAAAACAATTTTGGAACTCTTTTTCTGGAATGCCCATCAGAGCTGTTGTCATATTACCCGTGATATCCTGAATGTCATCAAAATGACTTCCTTTCAATATTTTCTTTATCTTTGGGTAAAGAAAGAAGTCACTGGGGGCCAGATCAGGTGAGTAGGGAGGGTGTTTCAATACAGTTATTTGTTTACTGGCTAAAAACTCCCTCACAGACAGTGCGGTGTGAGCTGGTGCATTGTCGTGATGCAAAAGCCATGAATTGTTAGTAAAAAGTTCATGTCGTCCACCTTTTTCACGCAGCGTTTTCAGCACTTCCAAATAGTAAACTTGGTTAACTGTTACAAATTCATAATGAATAATCCCTCTGATACCAAAAAAGGTTAGCAACATCGTTGCAACAAGTTCGCGAACTTAATTGTCAGACCTTATATAAACCTCAGTTTTTTTACCCATAAAAATGGTGCTGACCCCAACCTCACAGAGCTGTCATCAGATCAAGTGAGATGGATTATGTAAGGAACCTGTTGCAGAGCTTGGCACATCTGTGGTAGGAAGAGAGGCACATGTCTGCACCACACAGTAAGATGGCCCCGGGTAGGGGAATGAATGAGAAACCCCAGAGTCCCGGCACTGCCCTGCATAAACTACTGAGCCTGCTTTCCTTACCTTTAAAATAGGCTTAATGGTGCTCTATACTTCACTGGGATGTTTGGGAACAAGAAAGAACAGATGTGAAAATCATGAAAGCTGGAGGGTGCTATATAAAAGGGGTGGTTATTATCATAAAGAGCTGCCTTTGGCTCTCAGGCCTGCCACCACCCCTTCCCCTAGTCTGAGCAGAACCTCTGGGCTGGGCAGAGCTCAGAAACGCCAGCAGATGGCAGCCTTGTGGGGGCCTGAGGGCTGAGCTGCTACTAGTCCCCTGCAACACAAATAGGGTTTAGCCTCTCTGCTGAGCAGAGGGGGCCTCAGCCAGTCCCACACTAGCTTGGGGAGATGGAACAGTTTTAACAGTGGATTAAAGAATTTGGAACCATCCCCACCTGAAGGAAGAAGAACCTGTTAGGTTTTCAATACCAAAAGTTCTGATCTGAGGGCATTAGCCAATGGGTAGGGATTGGAGGGTGTTTTCATTTCATGAGCAGGCAAAGTGGAAGTAGCAGATGCGGGGACACTGTGAGGAGAGAGAAGTAACCAGCTCTGTGTGAAGGAAGCACAGAGTCAGACTCAAAGTCACTGGCCAGCTGATCACAGCCACACAATCTAGAGACCAAGCAGCTCCAAAAGCTTTCAGTAGGTTTAGGCTTTTGTTGATTGAGGGACTGATTGTGTCGTTTTTGTAATATATTTGCAGAAAAGTATCCCTACTGTGGATGCCTACCTTAGCTGTTGCCCAGCAGATTCATCTTTTTTTTTTTTTTTCCTTTTTAAACAAGAGCTGGGAAAATGAAGGGTGAGCCCAAGGGGAGGGGAGGGCCCTGCCCTAAACCTAGGTCTGGGGTGAGCATGTTGGGGTCACAGCTAAGCCTGTGTCCCCATCTTCCCTGGAGCCAGCACCCAGCCCGTGGCCAAGTTTCTGCTCGCCCTTCCCTGGTCACAGCCCTCGGGCTGAGCAGGCCCTCAGCCCAGAGAGCCTGTGGATCTGTACTGGTCCCTTGAATTCTTCAGGAACCGAGTTGGAGAATGCAGTTGCCAGGTGTCGCTGGTGCTACAGAGCAGCCCTGCCCAAGCCCCGCTGCGGTGAGTGCCCCCCAGGAGTCGCCTGGCCAGGCCCCATGCCACCACCCACCCACCTTCCTCCTGACCCCTGCAGGCCCAGCCCATCAGCCGCAGATTGTTTGTATCCTCCAGCTGAGGCTGCCTGAGCCAAGAGGGAGCAATTGGAAGGAGAATGAGGGAGGGAGAGCAGGGGAGGAGAAGGGGGTGAATTTTATTTTTTTTATTTATTTTTTTTTTTGCACACACCCTTATAAGGCTACTGAAGTCATTACCGATGTAACAAACCAACTAAGCAAGCAAGCGCCTCTCACCAATGTTCCCTTCTATAAACATAGCCTGGCCAGCCCCCACTGGCCCTTCCTCCTCCCCTCTACCCTCCCTCTCTCAGGGATTTGCTCTCCCCTGACGTTTCTTTCTTACCCAGCCCCTTTTCCTCCTGCTACTTTCCTTTTTTCCCTCACTGGTTGCAGGGGGAGGGAGCCTGCCAGCTGTGAGGGCCTCTGCAGCCGAGGAGTTGGTGCTGATGGTGGTGGAGACTGCTATGGGACCCTGAGGCCCGGCTGGCCAGCAAGAGAACAGGGTTGGCAAGAGGAAGAAGACGGTGAGGACGTGCGGGGGGTGCTGAAGAGGCGCGTGGAGACACGGCAGCACACGGAGGAGGCCATCCGCCAGCAGGAGGTGGAGCAGCTGGACTTCCGTGACGTCCTGGGGAAGAAGGTGAGTACCAAGGCCGTGTCAGAAGAAGACCTGAAGGAGATCCCAGCCGAGCAGATGGATTTCCGTGCCAACCTGCAACGGCAAGTGAAGCCAAAGACTGTGTCCGAGGAGGAGAGGAAGATACACAGCCCCCAGCAGGTCGACTTCCGCTCTGTCTTGGCCAAGAAGGGGACTCCCAAGACCCCGGTGCCTGAGAAGGTACCACCTCCAAAACCTGCCACCCCGGATTTTCGCTCAGTGCTGGGCAGCAAGAAAAAATTACCAGCAGAGAATGGTAGCAACAATGCTGAGGGCTTGAATGCCAAGGTAGCAGAAAGTCCCAAGGCCGTGGGCAATGCCCAACCTTCAGGGTCTCTGAAACCCATGGGCAATGCCAAGCCTGCTGAGACCCCAAAACCCATCAGCAATGCCAAGCCTGCTGAGACCCTAAAACCCATCGGCAATGCCAAGCCAGCTGAGACCCCAAAATCCTTAGGTAACACCAAACCTGCCGATACCCTGAAACCTATGGGCAATGCCAAGCCAACCGAGACCCCAAAACCTTTAGGCAATGCTAAGCCTGCAGAGACCCCAACACCCCTGAGCAATGCGAAACCAGCCGAGACCCCAAAACCCTTGAGCAACGCCAAACCAGCTGAGATCCCCAAAGCAGCAGAGAAAGAAGAACTCAAGAAGGAAGTTAAGAACGATGTGAACTGTAAGAAGGGGCATTCGGGGGACACAGATAATGAGAAAAGACCAGAGAGCCTAGGGACAGCCCCAACTTTCAAGGAGAAGCTACGAGATGTCCATGTGTCAGAGGGCGAGAAGCTGCTACTCCAGTGCCAGGTGTCCTCTGACCCCCTGGCCACCGTCACTTGGACGCTGAATGGAAAGACACTCAAGACCACCAAGTTCATCATCCTCTCCCAAGAAGGTAATGAGGACGGGGGTCGGGGAGGAAGGGACCTTTGTATGAGGGTCACTGTCAGCTCATTCAGCCGTGGTCTTACTGATTGCTGCTTGTACCCCCAGAGACCCTGTGCCCCCTCACTGACAGGATAGGTGCCCCCACTCAGAGTCCTTGGGCACACGCTCCGTTACTGAGGAGTGAGGGTGGCAATCTAGTCCTGTGGCACATGCCCAGGTCTTGGCATCTGTCCAGCAGTGCCCTCACACAACACCCCCAGCGGTGGGCTCCTCAGAGCATATGGGGACCTGTGCTAATGCCCCACAGCTCTGGCTCAGAGAAGGCTTTGTTCACAGGCTTGGATATGGGGGCACAGGGGCTGAAGCCGACTAGGGGCTCTGAGCTAACAGCTCCTTTTGCAGCAGCATTTTGGGTTTGGTGGTGGGATGGCACAGGACTGTAATTTAGGGTCAATAACAACTTAAGTCTTGATAACATTGTGGGTTTGACGGGACCTCTGGGGGAGCCCAAAACCCCAAACAGCCCCTACAGCACACACTCACTGGCAGACAGAGCTGCTTGCTTCCTAATTTGGATGAGACTTTTGTTTGCTGCTATTTCACATTCTTGGGTGATGGGGAGAAAGGGGGGGCGCTCTAAATCCTGCCATCTGGGGCCTTTGGGGGTCTGGAGTGTTCTGGTGGGCCAGTTTATACCTACAGAAGTGACGGGGGTAAGAGGGCTATTCTCCCTGGACCCTCAATTTGGTTTGAAATGTTTTTTGTACATCCCAAGCCTGGATGGGAGCTCCAAGACCAACAGACTTCCCACTTCCCACTCTGGTGGCCAGCTCTAGAACAGAATCCCCCCTGAGCTTGAGGCTGATGCTGGCGGCTATAGGAGGGCAGGGTACAAAGCTCCCCGGGGAAGTGGCATTTCACCTTGAGGGGTAGAGAGCAGCCACAACAGAGGCCTAAGAGGACGGGTCCTGTGAAACCCAGATCAGCTGAGATGTCAGAAATACTCTCCCCACTGTGTGGCTCTCCACCCCGTCCTCCAATTGCACCCCCTCCACTCCCTCCCTCACCCCCCGTCCCACTTGCTTCCTTCCTCTTAGAAAGTAGAGTGAAGTACTTGAAGATAGCAGTAGCCCCCTCCGCTCACGATGAAGTGTCTCTCTCCTCTGCATCTCAGATAGCAAATCCGGAACCATTGAGCATTTTTACTGTAAATGCTGAAGGAATAAAGAAGAAATGGACCCGGAGAGAGAAAAAATGTTATTTTCTGCTAATGTGTTGACCTTTTTCACATGGATATCCCCCGATTGGCTGGGTCCTCCACAAGTCACCTCATCTAGCCCCCTGCCTCCGCTAGTTCAACCTGCCCATAGCCGCCCCACAGGTGGGCATGGGGATTACCATGGTGGGGTGAGATGTCCAGGGGAGTAGATGCCAAGGCCTTCCCTGTCACTTCCGTGGGCCCCTCCCAGTTGGGAAGTCTTTGGTAAAACTAATCCAAAACCTTGACCAAGAGCATTTCCCAGGTTACCCCGTGGTGATCTCTCTGGGCAGAATGGAGGGTGGAACATGTGTAGTCACACAGGCCTGCACAATGTGAGGTCCATGGCAGTACCAGCCTCAAGAAGACTGATGTTCGGACAGCTGAGGGCAATGCCCAAAGCCATGTCGTTGCTCTGGGACCTGCATGGGACCTGCGGGGCCAGCAACAGCCACTTATAAACAATCCACTCCACTAAGCAATGTAAGCCGATCTCAGCCCTGGTCTCCAAAACACACCCGAGCCATTAGACACTGGCCGCTCCTGCCCAGAGGGCCTGGAGTCTGTTGTGTCTGTTGTGTCTAGTGGTCACTGAGTGTTAAAGGGCATAGAGACCTGGCTACTTCAGCATCACCTCCCCCAGAAACCATCTCAAAGGGACAGTTTCAGTCCAAAGCAGGGGAAGGAGAAATAATTAAAAGAAAGTCAGCGCAAGGAAAGGACAGAGAGACACTGAGAGGGAGGCGGGAGGGGGTTATGGGGAAGACACCAAATCCAACTTGAAAAAATATTCTAAATATTTGGAATTCTCCTTTGAAAAATAAGCATAGCTGGCATTTAATGAACACTGTGCCAGACACTGTCCTAGGCATCTTACACTTTTCACTCATTTAATCCTCGCACCTGCCCTACTGTCCACCTAACAGAGAAGTTAAGTACCTTGCCCAAGGCTGCACAGCTAGTTAGTAACCGAGCTGGGAATTGAATGCAAGCGTTTGAGTCCCGATGCCTAGACCACTATACTATGCTACCTCTGAGTTCATTCTTGTTAGCATGGCCGCACTCTGGTGCAGCTGAGAAACCTTTCATGATCAATCGGCTCTCCAAGGGCATTGTCTATCAAGGGAAAATGCTAATGGCTACTCCTCAACACGCAACAGTTGTCAAGAGGCGGGAAGGATGGTGGCACCCTCTGGGCTTGCCAAAGTTCTGGTTATTTTCCCTGCAGCGGAGGAAGCAGACCCTGAAACAGGCCTGTCTGTCTTGCCATGGTAGGGAGAGTGCCTTGTCTCAAAATACCCGCCCCACTTTCTGTCCACCACCCCTTCTTCAGAGCTTCACTATCCAAGTTTTCAAGATCCTAGGTTAAACGCAGACCCAGGAGAAAGCCTATCTTAAAACATTCTCGGTGAGCACTTCAGCAGGTCCCCACCGCAGGGAGTAGGGCCCTCAGAGAGGTGTAAGTGGGTCTGCTCTCAATAGAAAGCGAGGACACACACGCACAGTGATTAAACTATTCCAGTCAAGTGCCGATGATGAGCTGCTGGGAGCAGAAGGAGAGGGAGCTGAGTGCTGGGGCCGCAGGGAAAGCTGGTGGTGAAAGAGCTGGCCCTTGATCGGAACCTTGAAGGCAGGCCAGGGCTGGCAGCCGGGAAGAGGGAGGGTGTGCGCTTCGCTACAGGGGCACCGCAGCCGCGAGGCAGGCCTGCTCACAGCGCAGCCTGGGCTGCAGAGGAAGGCATGGCCTCGTCCCACCCTGTAGCATGCTAAGAAACTCTATTTCAAAGGCAATAGGGAGCCATGTAAGAGTTTGGAATGAGGATCAGTGTACACAGAGCTGGGGTTTAGGGGCTTTTGTTGACTCCTTGCCCAAAGACAAGTAAGGAGCCTACTGAAAAGTTTGGGGAGAAAGGTGATAAGGCCTGGATTAACAAGGTAGCCATGGGCCCAGACAGGAAATAACTAGTTCAAGAAGCAAGGACAGAATTAACGGGACCTGTTGCCTGGCTTGGAAGGGTGGGAACCGAGGGGTAAAGAAGAGGAAGGAGTGAACACCACTAAGCCTCAGTGTCAGGGCGGCTAGGGTCACAGTGAAGGGATCAGTAGAAATGAGGAAGCTGTGGGTTGAGGTGGTTTAGGGGGGAAGATACGGGGTGGGGTGGGTGTGGCTGTGTGGATCTTCTGGCCCTTCACCCCCCACAGCATCCTCTCCACCGTTACCTCCCGACTTGGAACCCTTCTTTCTCCACTGCACTGTGCCCTGCGCTGTCTTCTTTTCTAAGATCAAGGTTCACTTCCTCCAGGATGCCTTCCCAGACTCTTGTCACCAGCCTTTGTCCATGAGAGACTCTCGTGCTCTCCTCCCCCAACATCAACGTGTATGTCTGCGAACCAGCTGCTTAGTGGGTGCTCTGTTTATGTTTCAAGGGGGCTTCTCTGAACCTGTGGCTTGGATGGGGCTTGAAGCCCACAAGCTCCCCAAAACAGGATTATATCCATCCCACTTAGTACCAGGGAGAGCAGAAAAGGAGTGATGGCAGTGCAGTCAGTTGGAGTGTCTATTAATTCTCGGAGGGACATGGGGAGGGGTCCTTCCTGTTCCTATATCCCCCAGAGCTGCAAGGTGCATGCTGTTCACTTACAGTGTCGGGCCTGCCCTCCAGGCCTGCAAGGCAGCCACACCAGACCTCTTCTGGACCTGCAGCAGTGCTCCCCAGGCCTCAGCCCAGTCCCGGGAGACCAGGGAGCCACGCGGGCTCTGTGCTGCCCCTGAAAGGAGCTTTCATCTTTGTGCCTTGGTTCCTGTCCCCAGGCCCGGCTTCTCTCCTGGCAAACATTTCTCCCAATCTAATAAGGAAGATTCATTTTTGTTGCCGTTGTTAACGGATGATTCATTTTTAATCGTTTTCAGTGTGGGATCTTGCAAAAGCTTTTCCAAAACCTGTGTTAAGTTCATCCTACAAAACACAAGGATTTACGTAGCACCCATGATGTGTGAGGCACTGTTCTAGCCCCTTTTATTGTAGGCACAATCCACTCATAAAGAATTCTGAGTTAGGAGTTCTTTCTTCCTTTTAGAAACTATAGGCATACCTTGGACGTATTATGGGTTCTGTTCCAAACCACCGCAGTAAAGCAAGTATCGCAGTAAAGCAAGTCGTAATTTTTTTTCCGGGAAAGGGCCTTGCCTTCAATTTGTTAAAAAAAAATGCAACACCTGTGGAGCGTAATTAAGCAAAGTGCAATGAAACGAGGTATACCTGTATATTAGTTTTTTCAAGGTAGGTTATGTTTGATTAAATGTTCATGACTTTCTTTAGCATAGCTCTTACAAGATCACCTGCTACAGAAATGTGCCTTTGTCATTCTCAGAATGTCAAATATTTTTTTTACTGTGGCTGCATTCCAGGCCCAGGAAAAAAGCATTCATAGTAGATAAGGTCACTGCCCTCCGAGAGCGAGTGTGGGAGATGGGCATAGGTTTCAGCAGTGGCCTTGAGAGACATGTTTTGATTAAGATGAACTCAGGGCTTGGAAGAGGTCCATCTGTGCCTGGGGGGCTTAGGGAATGATATGGAAGGTACCATCCCTGAGGAGGTGACCTGGAGCTGAGTCTTACTGTCCAGACACATCAGGGGAACCGGGTCAGGAGGCCCTGCGGACTGAGGGCAGCCTCAGGGCACAGCCCCACGGACAGTTCTGGCTGAGCCTTTCACTGGACTCCTGGTTCTATGGTGACCGCTCCCATCCCCCTCACCTCCCTCTCAAAATTCCCCACCAGGCTGAGGCGTCTCAAAAAAACGCTGGGAAACGTTCTTTTTCTTCGGGAGGTCAGGAATAAGCTGTCCCACAGGAAATACCAGAGTCTTCAATCTGGGCTAGCTGAGGCTCCAAGCCTGCCTGGGGGCCCTCCCCCAGCCCACGCACACGGCCAGGGGTCCAGGCTCTGAGCGGCTTGGAAAGGCTGCCTGCTCTGACTCGTTCCCTGGTGAGGGGGCGAGGGCTGCAGTCCAAATGCTCCACTTGTCCTGTGGTCTCACTACTGTCTTCGCAGTTTGTGCCATTTTGTTTTGAGGCTGAAGGCAGCTGGGGGCCTGGAACTGGAAGGCCATGCAGAATTTGAGCGGGACGTCCATTGGGAACCTTCGTGTGAGACTGAAGGGAAATTGCAAGATGGGGTCTGTTTCCTCTAAGCCTCGAGTTTGGAGGCTACAGGTCACCTCTGCCCTCCTCTGCCCTCCCAGATGAATGGAAATTTCTCCTTCTAAAAGATAGTTACCCCCATTCCTCAGTCCTGTGCCTCACAATTCATGCTGTCATGATGGGCTTTCTAAAAATCTAACCTAAATCTTTTCTGTGGCAGTTTCTGCAAATTCTGTCTCCTGTAGTGAAAGGGATTTTGACCCATTGCCCTCCCCTGTGGGAGAATGTAGTGAGGCCTTTCCCGAGATGCAGGGTGTGTATAAGGGCTTGCAGACCAGCCATCCTGCCTGAGGTGGTCAGTAGGACTAAGGTCTCCCTGTTTAAGACATGCCCGGGTACCAAGAAGTAAAAGGAACTATCATGCCTCTGCTTTCTCTTTCAGCCTCAGTGAGGCTCTTTGGGCAGAATTGACATTATCCTTCCTCTCTCTGAATATTCTTGTATTTGTTGGTCAAGTCTGTGCATCTGTCCAATGGGGGTGAGGGAACTTCCTGAGATCAAAGGCCCTTTGGGAGCAGTGCCTGTCGGCCTTGCTTGTGGCCATGCCACCCCACCCATACACTTGGGATGCACACAGTTCTGCCCACCCAGGGCCAATGGCTCGTGCCAGGCAGCCAGGGGGAAAGGGAGGTGGCCGAAGCCCGTGGCTCCAGGCAGCAGGATGCACGTGGCTCTGGCTCTGTCCCTGTGTGATGACTGCTGCCTGGACAACGGGCAGCTTTGGGCCCAACGCCATGCTGTTGGCTTGTTTGTGTATCTGAAGACAGGAACTAGGGTACTGATTGCTGTCTCCCAACCTGGCCCAGCAGGCCCAGTCCTCAACTGGCCTCTCCCACATGAGGGAAACCCCCAAGGTTATCCCCCAGAAAAGGAGCCAGCCATGGGTTGGGAGACCCAGGATGGGCAAGAACCAGACCCCAGACTCCTGCGTATGCCCAGCCTGACTCCTCATGCTCCCAACCAGGCCAGAAGAGGTTTGCTGGGGCGGGAGTAAGGCCCGGTTAAAGTCTGTGGGGAAACAAGGCCATCTCCACCCCGCTCTGAGTGAGCAAAACAACCAACACCGAAGTGAGGCAGCCCCAGAGTGCCCCTCTGCCAGCCCAGTTCCCAGCATTGGCCGTGATTCTCAGCTCAGATACCTTTCCTGAAAAGCCAGCTCCAGGCTCCCAGGCAGCCGTCACCTTCTTCTCCCAGCAAACCTTCTCCCAGGCCATTGCCCCCACGGGACAGGGACTCCTGCCCTCCCCCACCCACCTCTTTGTTCAGCACTCCCTTCCCTAAGGTGCATTCCCAGAATCACTGCTGTAAGCTGGGCAGAACCCCCTCATCTGCCACTGTTCCTAGCACAGGTCTGTAAACCTGTGCCTGTCTGCTGTTTCTGTCTCGGTGGTGTCCCAGTGCGCATGGCCTATGTCCATCTGCTCCTTCCATTGTATGAGACGGCAGAGGTTATTTCTCTCCCTTTTCTATACCTTTTATTTTATGTCCTTGTAAAAGAACTCTCTGGAAAGGAGGGGGTAAACACCAGGAGGGAGTATGTTTAGGGATCGGTCATTTTGGATGAGGGTTATCAGCAGAAAGGGCCCTGGCTTCGGTGGGGAGAGGGATTGGTTCCCACAGGGTCTCCACTTCCGGGCTCCCAGAGGCCCCCCATGTGACTCACACTCACCTGCTGTGCTTCAGGTTCCAGGGCAGGTAATAGACCCATACCTGGTCCACTCAACAGTTCTTCTTCTTCCTCCCCAGGCTCACTGTGTTCCGTGTCCATCGAGAAGGCACTGCCAGAGGACAGAGGCCTGTACAAGTGTGTAGCCAAGAACAGCGCTGGCCAGGCCGAGTGCTCCTGCCAAGTCACTGTGGACGGTAGGTCGTGCCCACCCCTCGCCGCCACACACAGGGTCCCACTTCTCAGACATCCTCCCTGTCCCACCAGACCTGGACAGCACTGCACCTAAGGCTACCATCCCTACCTGAAGCATTCCTTTTGCGGGTGTCAAGCCATCTTTTCCCCAAAAAAGTGGCAGGAAGGAAAGTGGGAGCCCTACTGGATGGCCCTAGGTGGCCTCACAGCCCCGCCCCTGGCTGGGAGGACGAGCTGCTCACCTTGCCGTCTGCCCTCCCCAGTCCTGGCCTCAACCCACGGGACCTTGTTGAACAGGGAAGCTGAGCACAGGGCAGGAGGAGAAAAGACACACCCACAGGAAAATGACTGCATAGTATTTTACAAGCCGCAACAAACAAGTGTCAGTGCGGGCAGGACTGGCCCGTGAGGAGGAGGGAGCAGAGTGGGATCCATGTGGGGAGACTTCATCCAGGAGGTGAGTTGGGACTGTGTCTTCCTGTAGAGGGGACAGGGCTGCCTCTGCAAAGAGGAAAAAGTAATAATAGTGCAGCAGAGGCAGAGGAAGAGACACTGGGGCCAGAGAGGCCTGCCAGGTCTGCGTGAGGCTTCCGTGTGGGGAAGGGGCAACATGGAGCTGTGAGGAGCTGCGATGTGTCCTGAGGAAATGCAGGCAGCGTGTTTGAGACTCTTCTTGCTCCGCTCTGTGTGCAGCTCAGAATTAGAGACTTCAAAGTGGAGCAAAGAGGGGAAGCTTTCTGCGTGAGGTTCCCTGGCCCATTTAGGGCCACGCCAAGGCCAGAATCCCACCTTGGGCCTCCGTCCCGTGCCCTTTCTTTGTATTTGTGTTATTTGCTGAGAACTGTCAAAAAAGGTGGTTCGGGAAAAAAACGAGTTCTTGCCCTTGAAATGCCTGGCTTGTAACCATTAGCGACACTAGTTAACTAGTGTCCGAAGAAGGCATCTTAAAGACCTGCTTTGTTGTCCTGACTGCTGAAGATGATCACTTGGGCTCTAAAATCCTAACCTATTTCGTTGCCGTTCCCTGAGATGGTAGAATCTTTGTCCCCATTCTGGGTTTTATCATCTGATCTCCTGATCACAAAAGCCGAGATCTGCGGTACATAATGAATGAGAGAGAAGGACGGAAAGTCTTACAAAGAAATACCTTTTTTAAAAAAATACACACGATGGCAACACAAATTAAATTCTCACCAACCAACAGTAAAGCTGCAATTGTCAAATAGTGTGTGTCTCCCTGGAGAATGTGAATGTATTTGCCACAGGGGCTCTGAGACTAACGGAGCAGATTTCATGGGTTACAGTGTATGGTCAGTTCAGGGAGGGGCTTGAGACACAGGCTTTGAGGTTCTGGGTGGGGCTGCTGCTGCTGGTAATTTCTGTGTGTGACCTGGGCTGTCACCCACCCAGGCAGATCCTGCTTCTTTCTATACAAGGTGCTGCAGTTTAAAAAAAAAAAAAAAAAGTGTTTCTGGGAACTTGACCCCAGAACCCTATTTCTGACAGCCCCATTGCTCATGTGGGACCCATGCTGGTTCTAACCAATCTATAAGGAAGTTCATTCAGCTAATGAGATTATCTCCCTGCTTTTGCAATCCCTGGCCTCTCTGAGTCCTGTTTACACTGCTAGCTGAAGGCAAGACAGCAGTTCATTCTCCTTATCTGCAAAACGTCAGCACCTTTTTGAGAAACGGCAAATGGTTTGTTTTTAAAACCGAACTTTGTTTTCAAAATAAAATTTTCTTTGCCCCTACAGAATACAGTTGGGGATTTTTTTCTTTTTTAAAAAGTTTCAGGGAATCCATTCTGCAACTTATGGGGCTTTTAAAATTGCCCATAAATAGGTCTCCTTCTAGTTCATTCTCTTACTCTCCCCCCTAATCTTGATGACCTTCATAATTTATCTCTAGTTCCTACAAAAAGGCCTCTGCAGGGTTTGGCCTCAGGCTGTAGATTGGGAGCTGGGTCTTAGGAGAAAAGCTAGAAAAAGGATCTGAGGGAGATCAGCTGAGACAACAGGACTGACTTCTCAGTTGGGTTTGGTTTAGTTTGTTTTCAGGGAGAATAAGGGCAGCCTCCTTGGACACCCATTCCTCTCCCTGTTGCTATACATGGAGATATATTAGTGTCCTACATGCAGGTGGGCTTCTTGCCACATTGAGCTTGATTTTTCCATCAAGAGCCACCTCTGGGCAAGTAGTAAAGGACTGCAGCCTCGTGAACTGCTCCTCTGCCACCTTTGAGCACTTTTTCCCCTCCTGTGCTCTACTACGCTGAATAGGTTTCCTCTCCATGGTTGTCTCCTGATCTCCGCTCTCTCCACTCCCCAAGGCAATAGCATCTAACTCAGAGATCCCCTTGGGTCTCTTTACCCTTTGAAATTATAGACAACATGTTGTGTTTGTGGATTAGAGCATTTTTCTGAAGAGACGATCCATAGTTTTCAATTAGATTCTGAAAATGAATCATGAATGAAAATACATTGAGAAACTACTTGCCATATGAGGTAGCCATGACTGAATTTTCAAGCCCGGTCACCATGGGATCTTCCAGTCTCTCTCCATCTGCAGCTGCCTGCCTGAGCTCTGGATAGGACCAGTTCTGCATTTCTCCCCAGGAGCAGTAAGGTCCCTCTTCACTAGGGGTGGGGAATACAGCTGATGCTGCTGTCAGTTTTCCCCCTGACATCGCTCACTGTCATTCACCCAGCCTGTGCCAAACATCATTAAGACTATATATCTATGGCCAATATAATGATATATTTTAAGACCTTATAAAAATGACTTGGACTCATTGGCTGTTCTGTGTTAACCACACTACTGTTGCCCTCTTACAGTAAAGACAAAGGGAGGTAGCCCTTAGGATGCAGCATAGACTGCTGTTTTAATCATGATGTTTGAGTGTCTTCTCTCAGAAAATGGGTGCTCTTGCGCTCTTTCTTGATTACAGTCGCACTTCCCCTCCTTCCAAGTGTGGCTGAAAGCCAGTGCCAGCTTGTACCACAGAAAGGAATTAAAGCCTAGAGTGGGTAAGGACTTGCCAGAAAACTCACCCAGGACGAGAAAAAGCTGACCTTCAAGGCCTGCCATGACCAGAGACTCATGCGTTTTTAGTTTATGCATTAGCGGGGCAGAGTGCCTTTCTCACTGAGAAAACCAAAAGTCAACAGGGTCAGCAGCCCTCCCAGGTCACAAAGACAGTGCTCAGGAGATACGGTGTCTCTGGGTATCTCGGATCCAGATGCCACACCCTTGGGGCCACCTTGCACAGGGAGTTACCCTGGAGGACTTGAACCTGGGTGTGTCTGGTTCCAAAGTCTGCACCTTTCCACAAGTGGTGTGGCCTCCTGTCTAGTGAATAACATGGCAGTGTCCACTCTCCAAGAGATGCAAGCCCCCCTTAGTAATAGCCTTTCCTGCTGAGAAGTCCTTCTGTACATTTGGCCTGAGTGACCCATTCCCTCCTATTCCAACCAGGTGAAAGGAAACAAAGCCCCTTGTGCCAAAATCCCAAGATAGGAGTCAGAAGACACCTCAGTGCCCTTACGGGCTTCTTTAGCCCTTCCAGCTGAGGTTACCCTTCCCCAGCCACCTGGCTGAGGACATCTGGCCTCAGCTGCCAGGGAGATCAAGGGCTTCGCGACCATGGAGGGTTGTGCATGTGTGTGGTAGTAGGCACCCATGCCATCATGCATTTAACAAATATATGAGTGCCCACCCTGTGCTCGGCACCTCTCCAGGAGCTGAAGTTAAAAGCAGCAGACAAAACAGAAGTTCCTGCTCTCGGGGACTTTACATTCTAGTGAGGGGGAGACAATAACATGGATGAACAGATACATCACAAAATCTCAGGCAATCTCACATGTTTGAAAAAAGCCAAGTGGGGTAAGAGGGGAGGAAAGGCCATTATGGGAGAGGGTAGCCGTGGGACTCCTCTGAGGAAGTGACATTTGAACAGGGACCTGCAGGAAGTTAGGGAAGGAGCCCCAGAAGTCAGAAGGAAGAGGTAACAGTGAGAGCAAAGTCTCTGAACTGAGACGATGCCTGAGGCATTCCCAGAACTAGGGAGTCAGGGTGTCAAAGCCTGAACTGGGGGGCAGAGAGATGGAAAATGAGATGGAGGAAGACGAGATCTGCCAGGCCGTATACGCTGCGACAAGGAAACTGGATTTTATTCTAAGTATGATGGGATAGCACGGCATTATAAAGGATCGTGCTGGTGGCCGTGTGGTGACCAGACCCAGAAGGGGTAAGAGGGAGAACATGGAGACCTGCTGGGAGGTTGCTGCAATAGCCCAGGCAGGAGGCAATGGCCGCTTAGGTTCCCTGGAAGAAGAGGGAGATGGTCAGATCTATAATCTATTTTGATGGTAGGGCTGATAGGATTTGCTGATGAATTAGAAATGGAGAGAAGGCTAAGGTGACTCTTAGTTTTCCTGGGGAGTGCAGAACAATGATGGAACCCCCTACTGAGATCAGAATGCAGCGGGTAAGGGGACAAGCAAGAGTTCCTTGCATGTGAAGTTGAAGATGCCTATTAGACATCCAAGTGGGCATGTCGCATAGGCAGGCGTTTAGATGAATCTGGGTTGAGGAGGGAGGCCAAGGCTGGAAGCAGGATATGGGGAACCATGCACATATGAGGCCATTTAATGCTCTGGGATTGAATGTGGTCCCTAAGGAGTGGCTGTGGATGGAGGAGGGAAGGAGGCAGAGTCCAACATTGAGAAGGAGGGCAGGACAGGCCTGCGAAGTGGACTGAGAAGGAATGTTCCCAGTGAGACAGGAAGAAACCCAGGACAGAAGGGTGTCCCAGAATCCAAACGGCCATCATTTCTATAAGAAAGGAATGATGGAGGTCAATGCATCAATTGCTGCTGCCAAGTAGAGTAAGATAAGCCTGAGCATTGGCCATTGGGTTTAGCAATGCAGAGGCCATTGGTAACCATGACAAGGGGGGCGCTAAGGGAGTGATAGTCAAAAAGCCCGATTGGAGGCATACAGAGACGGAGCCATTTTGCTGAAAGCCACGCAGGTGAGTGGGAATTGAAACTCCAGCCTTGGCTCCTAACCACTGCGGTCCAGCTGCCACCATGGCCACTTGCTGGTTGTCGCTGAGCTGATTTCAGCCCACCCTTCTTTTGTTGGCCTCAGCCCTGCCATAGTCAGAAGTCTGCTCCCACTTTCGCATTTGTTGTTTAGGCAGCCAACGTGTATTAGGTTGAACTAAACAAAATTGCTGTTCTAGTAGGTCAAAAACACTTGAATATTGGCAAATGGTATGGTTCAACCTGAAACAAGTATATGAAGCACTTAGCATCGTGCTGGGCACAGACTGAGTATCCATTAAATGCCAACTATGACTTTAGGCCCCATTCACTCCTCTGTTGGGGTGTGATTATTCCTGTTTTCCTGATGAAGAAGGTCAGGCTCAGAAAAATTCAGGAACTTGCCCAAGGACTCACCATCACCAAGTGGCACAGACAGGAAGTCCTAACAGGACTCTCTCTCCTGATTATGGCAGCATGCTGCTTGCTCTGGGTCGGAGAGGGAGGCCAGCCCCTCTATCCTGCCCTCTCTTGGGGCTTCTGGGAGCTTGTACCCCCCCCCTCCCTCAAAAGTCTATCTACACCTCATTCCCCCTACCTGGGGTTAGAGCCCAGGGAACGGACCTCTTGGGGGAGACAGAAGAGAAAAACTGCCCTGGAGGACTGAGTTCAGAGCTAGCCCAGGAGTGGAAGGGGTGAGGCATTGTCCATATAAGGAATCATTTTCCTCTCTATGTGGAGGCCCCCCACGTCCCCCGCCGCCATCTTCCTCCCCCATGCTTCTTTGGGGCACAACCAGACCAGCAAAGGACTCCAGCCATGGGGCCCAGATCTAGAAATGGAGTTCAGTTTCATCGCCAACTGATTAAAATAGACAGAAAATACAAGCTGCTCTTAAACTTTTATTACTATTATTTTTATCTCCTGGGCAGCTGTGTCAGCGCAAAGCTGGTTCTGATTAAGCACATGGTCCTTCAGCCCACTCCTTGCTGCGGTTCTCACGGAGGGCTAGTGGCTCGTGATGCACGCACATCCCCCAAGGCGGGGCGGGGCAGGGGGCTGCTGCGGAGGGAAGAGAGGACTCCAAGTTGGGGGTGTGCCTGGTGAAAGGGAAATTGAGCCCCTTTCCTCTGGCCACGTGGAAAGATAAGGTGCACAGAACTTCTGAAAACAAGACTCAGAGTACATGGCAGGGAAGTGCACTCACACGTCAGTGTAAAGCCAGCACCCAAGAGCAGAGGATAGGCACCGACGCAGGAAACGTGTGGTAGGGGCCAGTCAGGGAGGACTTTCTGAAGACGGGGAATTTTAAAGCAGATTTGGAAGGAGGCGAGGAAATACAGTGAACAGGAGGAATAAATTAATAGTAAAGGATCATTTTTTTGCTCTCCAGAGCACTGTTCCATGCATTCTTTCCCTTGGGCCTCATAACAGAGAAAATAAGAGGCATTCCATTTGTATAGATGTAGAAATAGAGACCCAAGGCACTTGAAATAATTTGCCTGCCAGCCCAAGATTGCTGGTGACAAAGCCCAAACTAGAACGCTCCTTTCTTGGTCCTGCTCTAAGGATGCTTAGAAGCACAGCCCCACCCAACCCCATGAGGAGGAATCTCAGCCCTGTCTCCCGTCCTTCAGGAACCCAGGAAAACTGGGCCTCTTATCCTTTGCTTGCTTATGCCTCAGTTTACCCATCCATTAAGAAATAAAAAAACAGCAGCCTGATTCTTCTTTATCTCCCTCTTCTGGTGTCCCAGAACTCACCAAGAGACAGACGGCAAAGAGAGTGCTAAAGCCAAGGAACACAGAAATGTCTGTACATGCTCTGCCCTGTCCTTCTCTCCTGAGAAAGTGGGGGGAACAAACAAATTTCTGGATGCACCTTTCTTTATTTTTTATTTGTTTTATTTATGGGGGGTTGCACCTTTCTTTAAATTGTCTTTGGTGCATGTCAGAAGTGCTGGTCTTGAAAGAAGGGAAGTTGGGAGGGCATCAGAGAGGAAACTGTAAACTTAACCCTTTACACCTGGTTATGGTACCCTGTTCCCCAATATCAAGGAAAGGACTGACAGGTTTTTCTGTCTCTTGGAATAGCCCCTGAGACCTTCCCTGTGCCCCAACCCCACTTCTATACACCCACCACCACCACCACCACCACCACTACCCCAGAGGGGAGAGACCAGGAGTTTTCAACCTGGCAACATGTTAGAATCATCTGTGGAGCTTCTGGATAATATTGACACCGAGGCCCTGACCAAAACCGATTAAACCAGGATCTGAAGAGTGCGATACTTAGGTATAGGTACTTCCAGTGTGCAGCCAAGGTTGAGAACCACAGACGTTGACAAAAGTTGTACTGTACTGAGGGCTTTTCTGTAGCTGAGAATGGCCACTATGCCTGGGGGGAAACCCAATGTGAGAAAATGAAATCATCCTCTTCCCATGGCGTTTCCTCTTCCTCCATATGTTCACATGGAACCTGGTGTGTGGGTCGCCCACTGAGGAGACAGGACACAGGCAGTGTCAGCTCCAGATGGCAGGACCCCTGACTCCCCATCTGGGGCTCCTTTGCTCTTAAAGAAGGTGGCAGAAGGATAACATGCAGTGGGGAATGGAGGTAGAGAAGGGGTCCTGGTTATCAGGTGCTGCTTAAAAGGATTTCTTCCAGCTTTGTTCCCTCAGCCCCATGCCCTGTCATTTACTGCTACAAGTTCCACTTAAAGCCTACACTTAATCATTCTTGTAATTACACATGTACAGCTCTGGGTTGACTCCCTGGAGACCTGTGTGCTGTGAGCCTGGATGATACCTGCCCCAGGCCTCTACCCCTGGATTACCCAGCTAACAGGGAGTGGGCAGGCATTAGCCTGGGGAGGAAGCCTGACTGGTGTGGAGGGATTTACACGGGCAGATCATATTCTCCCCGTGGCATTTGGAGCAGGAAGGAGACTCAAATGCCCTCTAGAAGGAGCACTACATCCAGATGGGAGCACCAAGAATCCAAGTGCCAGGGAAGGGTATGTCCCTAGCCCCTAGTTCTACGGCCCCATGCCCAAACCCCAAACCCCCTAGGAGAGAGCATGTGTTAACAGCCAGGACTGCCCTGTCCAAGAGGCGGGGACAGCAAGATGGCCCTTCCTACCCAGCCAAGCCACAGGAATGTGGCTGAAGCCTCAGCTGGAAAGTCCCACCTCCTTCTTCCTCCGCCTGAGCTTCCTCTCTTCAGGAGCAGGAAAAGGATGGACAGGAAGGGGCGCTAACGGGGAGGTTCCCTCCTAGCACGGTCCCTGAAGAGAGCTCCTTGTGGGGCAAACGCTGGAGCATAGTGATAACCATTCAGCAAGCTGCATCGTACCCTTGCTTCTTATCTGAGTCCCTGGGTGGTTTCCCCTCATCTTCCTAAAGTCTAGTCTCCTTGGGGCCCAGTAAGGGCCTTTTTGGCTCAGCCCAGCCCAGTGCAAGGCAGTGTTACCCTGCTGCCCTGACCAGGGAGGGTTTCCCTGGCATTATCCACAGCGTGCGTGCCCATGGAGGAGAGGCCTGTGGCGTTGTGCACTCATCCCTTTCGGCTCTGCCCACAGGTTACTGCCAAAGGGTTTCACTGGGTCCATTTTGGGGAGGGAGAGGGATGCAGAAGCCCCCACAATAGGCCCAAGGCTCAGTCCAGAATGGGGGTGGCATTGCCAGCCTCCTGCTCAGAGGCATTTGTCTGGTTTGGAGGTCTGACTGTCAGTACCCACCTGTAGAAGGAAGTCTGGGAAATCAGAGGCTACAAGCTCCCTCCAGACCATGAACCCAAGGACAGGGACTTTGTCCCCTCCTTCCTCTGTACGAGAGACCTCTTCACACAGAGCAGGCTTCTGGATATCCAGACGGTTTAGCCCCAGAGAGTCAAGGCCCAAGGAAGGGAAAGGATGGGGGGGAGATGAGTAGAGGGGCACCAACTCTCCCCCTGCCCTGCATGATGTGGTTTCTGGCAGCACATGCCTGCGGCAGAGGGGAAAGCATTAACGAGTTCCCAGGACAGCCTGTCCATCCATCTTGCCAGGGCAACTGTGCTCTCTCCACCTGATTTATAAGGCCCAGTGCAGCAGAGCTCCTTCTTTGGTACTCTTGCGGAGAGAAGTCCGGCCGCAGGCACTGAGGGCCCTCAGAGTGGGGTGGGGGAGGGAGTGGCTGGAAGGGGCTATCATTTTAGTTGAGGTGGGATTTTTATTGAGATGCCTCCTCTGCTCATTTCCTTGGGCAGCTGCCAACTAATGTTTGTTGTCACCTGTTCTGCTCCAGATGCTCCCGCCAGTGAGAATGCCAAGGCCCCAGAGATGAAAGCCCGGAGGCCCAAGAGCTCTCTTCCTCCCGTGCTAGGAACAGAGAGTAAGTACTTGTTCAGCTTTTCTCGGCAACCCAGGACTGGGGACCACGCCCCTGCTTCCTTGCCTGCACTCCTGAAAGCCTGGCCCCTTTCCTCACCCGGTGAACCGCTGGAGATGGAGCCAGCGGCCTTCTCTCAGCCCCTCCCATGTCTCGCCCACCTCCCCACAGCCGGAGTGGTGGTACACACACATGTCCACCCTCAGCCTCACTCAGGCCCCTTCTACTTCTCCTGATCTCTCCCAGGTGAGTTTCCTGCCAGGTAGACCTTTCAAAATGGGGCTCTGATCTTATCATCCTAGTTGGAGTGTCCAGCAGCCCCCAGAGTCTTATCAAGCCCATGAAAGTGAACCTCTCCCACCTAGCTGCCCTGGCGCACCTCCGTACATATGCACACATTCTGACATTGACCTCAGCCCCCTTTCCAAGTGCTATCCCCCAACTCCTTTACCCCTGAACCCCTCAGTATGCACTGGGCTTCTCTGTGTGCCTTCACGCCTTTGCTCTGGCACCTCTCCTCCTGGGACACCTGTCTCATGGGACCAGCTCCCACAGAAAAGCCACCTCGAGCCCGATCTCGTCCTTGCTCCAGCCAAAAGTAGCTCTTCCGTCCTCTGAGCCCCTGTAGCGCTCAGCTCTTCTCTTCTGCCGTTGACTGTCTTCACAGTATCACGGTGATGTGTCCAGTCTCATCCTCCAACCTCCATTGTAAGTCCCCTGAGGGCTGCTCAACTGGCCTGCTCACGCATGCCCCTTTCAGGGTGACGCGTGCTGTGTGTTGTTCATAGGAGGCCCTCACCAGAGTCTCTGAGAATCAAGTTGCAGCTGTGCTATAAATAGTAAGGGGCCAGGAGCTTCTCCTGTGAGTAAATAGCTGGCTCCCTCTCTGTGGATCTCGGCTTCCCCCAGGGCCCAATTATCTATTAAGCGAAGAGCCTAGGGGCCACAGTGCTTTTACAGGCCCACAAAAATATCCTAACATCTAGTAAAATTAGAAGGAAAAAAAAAACTTAAGTCAAAGGAATTGTTTTAATTCGTGATATTAATATATTCATCTTTATACCAGTGCAGTTGTAATATATATGTGTGTGTGTCTCTCTCTCTGTCTCTCTCTGTCTCTCTCTCTTTCTCTCTGTATTTATATTTATATTTTTTGGTTTTTCTCTTTAATGGAGGAAGAGGTCAATGAGGGCAAAAGTGCCTAGAGTCCACAAAAGTCATAAAGCAGCAGCCCTGGCTTCCACTACTGATTAATTATTGGTCTCATTTTGTTAGAACTATGCTTTGAATCCTCCAGTTTTAACAGAGGGTGTGGAGTTGCTTGAACAATGCTAACACAAGCTTTCTATGTTTAAAAACAAAAACAAAAACAAGCCAAGCGCTTAATTACCCATGCTAATTGAGGGAAGTGATTGAGCTTGATTCATTCAAAGGCCGTTTCTCTTTTTCTTTTACAACACAGTGTTCTGTGACTTAGTTTTACTTTTTGTTTTCAAAGCAATGTATTTCCCTTCCTAATGACAAGCTTGGGTTCCTTGCACACATAACCAGCCAGGCCGTGTGGGATGCTCGGCCTTCAGTATGTTGGGGCAGCCGAATCGGAACAAGAATTTCTCATGGATATTTAGCCTCTTGCAGGGAGCCTCCGATAATCGAGTGGACCTTTAATAAGTTGTTGGAAGTGCATAAGCAGTTCTAAGAAAAACCAAGTAAGCATGGGCTAATGATTTTATCTTACAAAAGGATTTTGTAGGCCCATGCTTTATTAGTTACAGGAAGTGTGAGCAGAACAGATGCGGGATCTTAGAAGAGCACCAAGTGCAGGTGCATTAGGGGTATGACAGGTCCTTTACCTGTCCCAGGGGCAGGGGTGCATGGCATTTGAGCTGAGAGGTCAGCAGCCTCCTGTCCTTAGCTCTGGCACATCCATTTCAGTGCAGTCCTGAGGGAGGTTAGCAGGGTCAGAGGAGAGCTGTGAAAGAGAAAAACAACCTGGAGACCATGAGCAGACCAGGGCCCTGGGCTCTTTGCTCTAGAGAAGAGAGGGCCATGGAAAACCCCAATCAAGTTATCCCCATCCAATTCTACAGCAAGGGCTCTCTACCCTGGCTGCATATTAGATTCACTTATGGAGCTTTTGTTGTTGTTGTTGGGGAACAGTGTGTTTTTCCAGGACCCATCAGCTCCAAGTCAAGCAGTTGTTTCAATCTAGTTGTGGAGGGTGCAGCTCTTTGGTCCATACTGGGATCAAACAGGCAACCTTGGTGTTATCAGCGCCACACTCTAACCAACTGAGCTAACCAGCCACCCCGAGGAGCTTTTGAAAACACAGCTTGTCTGAGCTGCACCCCAGATTAATTAAATCAGAATCTCTGGGGTTGGGACCAGGCTGCAGTGTTTGTTTAAGCTCGTGGGCCATTCCACTGTGCAGTGGGTAAGGCTGGAAAGCAGCTGTTCCAGAGGGAAGCCCAGGGCCCTGGCACTGTTGGTCTTGAAAAGCAGATGGGGTCTCCTCTCCTGCCTCTGTTAACTGTGGAACCGCGTCCGGGCCCCTCATGCCCAGGTCCTAAGAGTATCTCAGTCATCTGCCCCACTCTCTGTAGGGAGGGAGCAAGATGTTGTGCTCTGAAGTGTGGAGGCTAGAAGCCTCGGATCTTACCCCCGCAGAGAGAACAGGAGAGGGGCTTACTGAGCAGGGCTGCTCAGTGAGAGGGGCAGGACTGGCGGAGTGTTTCACCTCTGCTCACAAGTGGATTAACTCCAGTGGCTACTGCTCATCTGCTGAAGGGGAATTTCACTCTGTGTAGAGAGGCTTCATGTTGGAATGACAGACGTCTTACCCCCAGAGGAATGCAAGTGTGTGTCTCCATGTATAGTAATGGCCACTGTGAACCCCTCTGCCTGCCCATCCACCCAAGCCTCCCATCAACCCAACTTGTTACCCTCTGGAGGCGCCTGAGAAGGCAGCTACCCAGAGGTAGGAAATGAAGGGAGTGTCTTTTAGGTCTGTACCCCCAGTTCTTTTCTGACTTTGGGGGGTAATTTGTATTATTTATTAATTACATGAGTTAAATATGCATGCATTCTTGTTGAGACATTTTTAAGCAGTATAGAAATATACCAAGTACAGTATGAAAGTCCTCTTTCATGTACCCCCAATTCCACTCACCTCCTCAAATATGTTCACAATTACTTTTTTCCGTGCATTTACATTTGCAAATGTATCACACCATCTGTACACCTCTGCAGCTTGCTTTTTTTCCCTCTTAGCATTGCCTTCTCCGGTCCCAAATATTTCTGATTCCATGAGAAAGCCCAGAGATTCGTGTCCCTGATCTGGCTGTGTGTGTGTGTATATGTGTGTTCATTTTTGTCAAGGATTGGGAAGTACCTAATCTAACCAGGAAATCCATCTTTCCTGCCAATGACTGATGGAAAGCTGAGTGTTTTTCTTGTCAAACAGATTGTGGCCAGATCCCTCTGTGTGCACCCTCCCCTCCGCAGCTCCCGTGTTCAGCCCTGTAAGTGAGCTGTCAGGTGTGAGAGTGGACAGCGCCCGTCCACACTGTGGCCTGAGAGCCCCTGGGAGCACCGCCGCTGCAGAGCCTTGGGGAGCATGAGAGAAAAGCCAAGTCAATCTGCCCAACCTTGGGGGCAGGGCGAGAGAAAACTGACAAAACAGTTAACCTACAGGACACCAACTCACAAGTACAGGAGTCGGGGGGGAGTCGTGTAGGAAGATTTGGGATGAGGGAGACTCTGGGCCCCGTTATGAAGCAGGAGAAGAACGTGGTTAGGTTGAAGAATGATAACATTGTGAGGGAGAAACTGCACGGGTGCTAGACTGAATATTGGGAAGCCACCCAATTCAGGGCATCATCATACAAAACATACAAAACAAGCATTTATTGAGCACCCGTGCTGCAGGCATCATCTTAAGCGCTCGATCTATGTCACCTCAGGCAAGTCTCACCCTGAGCGACCAATGGTTGTTCCCATTTTACAGATGAGCAAAACTGAGCCTTAGAAAACTAAATTTTCCTGCCCAGGGTCTCACAGCTAGTAAGATGTGGAACTACGAGGCCAAACCTGCTCTACGTTCCTGCCACAACCACCCCACTGGGTGCCTCGCCATAGCCTCAGAGTCATACATACTTCATGCCGTCCCCACAAGCCTGGGCAGTGCTTCTGTTGGCCCGTGTGGAGGGCAGAGGTCTGACTGCCACTAGATCTAGTGGGAGAAGGAGGGCGACAGCTGGCATGCTTGCCTGGATCGAGACCTTTCAGGGTATTTGCTACATGCCTCTCAATGGGAATATTTTTAATACCTTTATTTTCATATGATTTCAAATTGACGGAAAAGTTGCAAGAAATCAAGAAACTTTTATATATCCTTTACTTAGATTCACCAGTCATTTACATTTTTGTTCCATTGTTTTGTCATTCTATCTATTCATATATATTTGTCATTCATCATATATTCGTATAGATATATATTCATTATATACCATGTAGATATGTATACAGTATGTATATGTTCATGCATGTATACTCGTCATATGGATATAGATACCATTTATGGATGAGGGACATCATACCCTCGACCTCTACATTTCTCATTGTATATCTCCTAGGAACATAACCACAATGCAGTTATTAAAATCAGGAAATTTGACATTGAACCAATACTGCTACCTAATCCACAGTCTATGTTCAATTTTTGTCAACTGTCCCAATCCTTTATGGATGGTTTTCCCCTGCTTGATGGGCAGTTGATGTCCACATTCCTAGAACACTTCATCCACTCCTCCAGCCCAGAGGGAGTCATCTCCCACCTTTGGGACGAGAACAGGAGCAAAGTGTATGGGCCAGGGGGGAAGCGCCAAGGCTCCTCCCCTGAGGTGAGTGGCTGTGGGGGGCAGCAGCCCCCTTGATGGGCCTCCAGATGCCTATTTACTCTGTCCAGCTCTGGAGCAGTGCTCAGGGACAAGGCGTAGCCAGAC